CAAAGTACTGAATAAACAAAAAACTTACAGGATTTTCATGTTGATGAGCTTAGCAAATGTTGAAGGAATTTCTCCACCTAGTCCACAGCTGTCCATGTAACTGTGAAAATAATAAACTGATTACTACCAATTTCATACGATAAACGCTTTCCTTGCTCATCGATAATGAATTAACAAATAAACTGCTCCTTTAAGAGAAAATAATTACACATTGCAACATGTGATTCAAATTTGATGAGTTAAATGAAGCACTCACAATTGCTCGAGCTTGACTAAGTTACCAAGTTCTGGAGGGAGTGTTCCGGAGAAATTATTTGATCCAAAGGACCTGCAACAAGTCATGTTGAAGAGGTATAGAATTAAATGATAAGGGGTTCTATATTTAACATGTCTAAAACACAAAATTTAATTGTGTTTTCTTATGTTTCATTGCTTACAGCATAGTTAGCTCCTTAAGGTTTCCAAGCTCCTTGGGGATGGGCCCAGAGAATGAATTGTGGGAAATTGACCTGAATGGAAATATCAATTAAAGATATTAACACCCGTTTATAATTCAGGATAAAAACAGAATAATTTTATGTATAAACTAGTAAGTAGTAGTTCCTTAAAGCTTAAAAAATGGAGAAAAAGGAGAATATAAACTAAGTCAATTATTGAAATTGTACATGGGAATGAGACTCATCAAAGTATTTGACAGATGAAAAATTTGTACTAAAACAAATGGTGTTTCACTACTTACAATACCATCAACGTAGACATATTGCCGATGAATGCTGGTAGGGGACCCGTGAAATAATTCTTATCAAGTTTCCTACAAGAATTGAAACAAAATGCGATGACCAACGATTAATCTCTGAGTATAAAAAATATTCCTGACAACTTTGAACGGTAAGAAACCTGTGTCTTTTATATGAAAATGTTAACTGCGATAAAAGAAACAACAGAGAAGGGGGTTGGAAAAACTTCATACAAAACGGCCAGATATCTAAAAGCCACAAATTCTTCTGGAAACACCCCTGGTTTGTTCCGAGCATGAACTCTCCTGGAAAGAAAAAAGATGGAGCAGTTAGGCACTTAATATTACAATTGATATATCAGGCATGTTCTGCTTAGTTTTCTAAACTTGATAATTAATTGATTTGCTACAGTCAACAACACAAGACTAAAGAATATGGGGAGAGAGAGAGAGAGAGAGAGAGAGAGAGAGGAGGGTAACATACAGTTTGGTAATGTGGCAGGTAGTATTTTTGTTATAAGTACAGTCACAACTGACGGCTGGATTATTCTCTGGCTTTTCAAACTCGCTTCCATTGGTGGCAAATCCAATGCATGGCTCTCCTCCACGGATAGGCAGGGCTTGCATGTCCCATTTCCGGAATATTGAGAACAACGCCGTCACTGCATTCTCAATTCAATTGTTGTGTATACATCACATAATGTACTTATGTTGCAAAAGGAAACAAAAAACAAAAAACAAAAAATATATATTCTGTACCTTCAGATGGATCGGTAGTAGCATTTTGAGCCATGTACACTTGAAACCAGAAGCAGCTGAGAAAGCATAGACTGCAAAAAGACGCTGAAAGAGGCCATGGTTGCTTCAACATCTTCCTCAAATTGATCATGTACTGTCAATGGTTCCCAAACTACTTATTCTAACACAGAGTAGAGAAAATCGATTTTCCCAAAGTACTCATACATGAACTATTGACCACTTTCTATTCATATATATATATATATATATATA